TATAAATTTTAAAATTTTGAAAAATAATTTTAGAATTCTTTTTCAAACTTTTAAAAAAAATTTAGAATTTTTTAGAATTGTTATGAATTTTTTTAAGTTTTGAAAATTTTTTTGAAGTTTTCAAAATTTTTAGAATTTTGTAAAATTAAAAAAATTAATAATTTTTGAGAAAATTTTTAATATATTTTATTTTTATGTTGACATGATATTAATAACGTAGTATTGATTAAATTTTTTTTATATATTAATATTTTATTAAATGTTAATCTCACGTTAGTGAAATTGATTAAAAGTGTTAACTTCATGTATCTATGTGATAACAGATTTGAAAGTTTTGATATCAATATAGTTATAAAATTTTTTAGGTATTAATGTAATAAAAAATATAAAGTTTAAGAATAAGTATATATTTAATTTCGACTACAATATATTCAAAGTTCAGTGATTAAATTGAATGATCTCGGATAAAATGAGATGTTTACGATTATCATGCGACATTATCAATGATGAGTTTTCCAAGAAAAAAAGATTCGGTTGGATTTGCTAAGTCTGTAGGGGAGTCCTACTAATTCCAGCAACGTCTGCTAATAAGAGTCTTCAAATCTGTAAGAATCTGATGGTGGATTTTGAGTTCTGCTTTTTTTGCTACATTTCCATTCGCCAACCAATCTGCTATGTAGTTGTTTTGCATTGGGATGTGAGACAATTTCCAAGACCAATAAGTGATTTAACCCCAAAATGCAAGTAAATCCAAATACTTAATTCCTTCATTCGTGGATGATATTTTTACCCAATTTTAATGCTATGCACAAAAGACAATTGGCTACTATTAGCTGTTAGCTCAACTTGAGGATTGAACTTAAGAGATACCTACTCTGTTGAACCTTTTTTTAATTATCAACGAGGCCATCCAATTCAAAGTAGTGAAAAAAATTTCCCCCTTCATTCATTTTGTCCAAGTCATTGGTAAAGTAGTTATCCGAGTTTAGCTTTCTAACAGTTGATATTAGATTCGTTACTTGATGTGATTGAAGTGGTTTCACATATGAAACTTGGAAAGAAGAATTTTCCGTTCATATTTTATTTTTTAATATTTCTCTCATATACCTATCAGATAAACAAACATATCTATAGCATTTTTTTTCATGCTTAAAAATATATCCAGCATGTTTTTAATACACATATTTAAACTTTATATTAATAGTTTTTTTTTAAAAAAAAGATCAATTTATATAGTGTAAAATAAAAAAAAATTCATACTTTTTTAATTTTTTATTTTAATAGATCCAAAAAAAATGAAAACAAATAAAAATAAAAGCTAATAGTTTAATCTCATTGTTTGAATTTATTAAAATTAATGGTTAAAAAATATGAAAATTTAAAAAATATTTACATTACATAAATTGACTTTTTATTTAAATAGTTTGAAATTTAGTTGCAGTCCCAGCACGTAACGCAGGCTACACACTAGTATGATATGATTGATTATTTGCCCTAAGCAAATCTTAAAAACTCAAGAGGATTTTTAAAGTATAGGTGTCAAGCAGTTAAGCTTGGGCACGTGTTAACGTGAATTTTAAACGAAAAAGATTACTTTAAACGTATTTAGTATGTATCTATATATATATATAAAGCTAGTTACAGAATTGAAATTTGAGTTTACTAAGATATTAGTATGATAGCTCAAGCTGCTGACAGTAGTATTAGGGGAAATTTCGAGAATTCAATAACATTTTTTTATGGTAAATTACGAGTTGAATTTTATATTGATGAAAAATCCATTAAGATTAGTTTCTAAAACATCAAACAAATCATGATTTCAAGTTTTTTGGCTTAAGAAATGGTTAATTTAACAAGTCTTCCACAAGTTGGCAAATTTATTGTTAAAGGATTTTGGGCTAATTTGGGTGATTTTATGATGTAAATGACATTATGATTGATTTTTGATTTGTTCGTTTGATTTTGAATAGAATTTGGATTATTTTGAGAAAGAACAAAGTTTTTAGAATGAAAAGAAGTTGGTAGAATCTTATTAACTTGACTTGTTTTAAATCTATGTACAGTAAGTTTTTTTTTTTATAATAAATGAACATTTTATTTTTTATATGAAAATAGAGTAAAAAATTTAATTATTTTATGTTTTGCTATTTAAATGATGAATTTGAGCTAATGAATGAAATATTGATTCGTTGATAAGAATTTAAAGAGTGTTTTTATCAAAGCTATAAACTGATCCTGAAACTGGAATAATCAGCACTAAAACTAGTTATACCTTCTTGCTAAGGGGTAATACTAGTTAGTAATAACCCTACTAATGGGTTATGATAATTAGAGCACCGTTCTACTAATGGATTATAACAATTACCACACAGCCCTCCTAACAAATTATAATAGTTAATGTATGATCTCATTATCGGATTATAATATTATATAAATTAATAATAATCATACGATCTTGGATTATATTAGTTAATATAAGGTTATATTAACTGATTATAATAATTAGTATTGATCATTTATTGTTAATGCAGCCCTTGTCCCCGCTTATAATCGATATCCTAACTAAAAATGAACTAATGATAAAGATGATGAAATGATGTATGATGATACTTTATGATTTCTAAATGTTGATTTATGACTTGGCTTGAAGGATGGTATCTGTTGTCAATGATTTATAAAATTATATATGTATAGGTATGGTAATGAACTTTTAATAATTTTTGTAATGTTATAATATAATGATTTGAGTTTGAATGAATTATACGACATTATTATACATTGAAAATTATGTTTAATATGATAGGATTTGTGAGGTTATATTTATTAAAATGCGGCACTCTCTTTTATTTTTTTTTCAAAAATAATTAAGTGAGAAAACTAAAAGATCAAATTGAGAAAATTATTTTGGGATTGAGATAATATAAGTTCATGAAAGTCTTAATGGAAATGTAACGATACTTTGGGTATTTTAGTAATTCTGAAAAAATTTTAGATTTGGTTGTACTATTAAAATGATGTGAATTTTATTTCAAAAGAATTTCTTATGAGAAAAAAGGTATCTTGTTTTTAAAGTTTTCTAATAAAATTAAAAAATCTGTTAAAATTAAACTACAAAACAAACTTGCCTTTTTTCCCTCTTCTTGTACTTTCATTTTTTCTCTATGTCTCAGCCATAAATCCCGCACCAAAGCAAAAAACTTCATCTTGTTAAGAGTCATCATCGGCTCTCATGGTATGGTGCCACTTGGTTTCCGTTATTGACAGCTGTAGCTTGAGTTGGTATGAGTTTACGTTGCTAGCAAATAGGTTGCTAAGTGTGACTAGTTTTGTACCAAGTTGAATCTATATGTTTTTTAGATTAGTCAGAAATGTGTGCAGCATTTGTAACATTGTGCTTTGAGAATAGTGTGAAAAACACTTTGTAACTATTGTGTAAGTGCTGCAAAGAGTCTTTACCGAGCACCAAAAGCCCTATTTTTATGTACTAAACGCATTCATTACCTGCTCATTGTTTGTTAAAATACCTAAGTGAATTTTTAGCATACTGTGTCTTCAATTTGTGTTATGTTTTAAGTTGTTTTTAACTTTTGTTCTGTTTGTTTTTGCTTTCGCTTTCCACTATTCCACCCTACACATCTAAATCAAATATCAAATATCAAAATAGCTTGTAACGTAACTATTTGCATTCAGATAGTTTTTACTCGAATCACATAAATTCTACATTGAACAGTTGAGAAATGGTGTAGGTAAATTCTACATTGAACACTTAATTCGGTGCACACCACATTTAATAGCATTTCTTTTCCTTGCAGCAGTTGCTGATGATGCGTTCTTTAACATCAATTTTAGCATAGAGTACACTCAGCCAAATATCGCACTGTTTTGTTGGTCAATCCTTTAGACGGTTAAAAACAAATTAATATTTTATTTTCCATTGCTCTATGACATTGTTTCCTGCTGCTTTATCTGGAACATAAGGTGTAATAAGATAGTTGCAGCATTAAAAAGGTACAGGTACAACAAGCTGATCATTGATAAACCCAACGTATGGCACAGAACAATGCCATTAGGATAGTCTCTTTTCTGATTAAGTATGAAGATCATATGTAATTCTAACATTTTGTGAGAAATATTTTCAAAATAATAAAAGATGATTGATTAAGTGTGATACTTAATCAAAACAAATTAAATAAAAGTTAGAATTAAGCTTTGGTAAAGTTTCATGTTTCAATTGATTCTAAATATAAAAGAATCAAAGGAAGAAGTCTTACCCTACGGGTAATCGACTATCAATGCCAAAGTAATCGATTGTCATGTACTTGAAATTTGTACCAAATTTTCGATATAATTTTGTTCAAAGAATTGTATAGGAGCAATCGATTGCTTACCTTAGAGCAATTGACTGCTATAGCTGGAGTCAATTGCTTAATCGATTGTTAATGCTGGAAAAGTATTTGGTTTCAAAATTTAACCAAGGCAGTCGAGTACTCTAAGGAATCAGTTACCCTTGTGTTAGAAACATTCTGAAATATGAGGGAAGTCGACTGTCCTAAGGAAGAGTCGATTGCTCTGTGGTTTGTAGCATTCTGGAACTGGATTTAACAAAAAAGTAGTCCACTGCCCCATAGAAAGAATTGATTGCCCTATTTCAAAAGTTGTATCTTTCGAATATCAACGCTCAATTTTTATTCAATTAGAACATAATCTTTCACTAATTGATTTATCATCTGTAAATGAATATGATCTTTCATTGAGTGATTTATCACTTGTAAAAGGGTGTATGTGATTTTTTAGAGAGATGTTTTTGTCATAAATGACATAATTTATTAATGAACCAACACAAATTAAGGGACACAACTCTTGGTTTCATGCTCTACAAATAGAGATGGTTAGAACATATTCGAACCTATGATAAAACAGTTTATTAAGTGTCCGAATTCTCTCACTCTCGGTCTCAAAATAGAGACAAAGTCTCTTAAACTTTGTTTTGCTGGAAAAAAAAAATCCACGACTATTATTTCATCTTCTTCAAAGGTGTTTAGCGGTTAGAATTTTGCTAATGTAGAGTAAATTCCAATGAAGGTTTCATTGTATCTCTTTAGATAATTTGATCGACTCCTTTTGCATTCCCAATACCGGTGAGACCAAATAAGTATAAATGAAAGCAATTCCTAGAGCAAGGCGCGTGCCTTTAAGCCATTATTTTGTCGCACACTATTCTCCATATTGATGCCAATACAAAACTACCACCGGTGCAAGAGATCATCACCAACAAGAAAACATCTCAAAATGATCTTCAGGAAACAACATATTTTGAGAAAAATGGGGATTATATTATTAACTTGAAACCAAGCTCAGGAATACATGATCTCTGTTTACAATTCTTGAGCTTCAGCCAAATCTACTAAAGGTTTAAGAAGTAAATTTAGATCTAGATCCAAGCTCATAGCGTAAGCCAAGCTGCCCCTGGAAAGAAAGCCTTCATGTGAAAGAACATTTCAGCCACCAGAAACAAAATGGCAGTTCAAATACCATCTTCCTTCAATTGATCAATCAAACTACTGATTCCATCTCTTCATGCTCACTAGAATATGGAATACTCCACCTCAAGTACATATATATAATAATTATAATAACAACTAGACCTGAAGCAGCAGATGGTCCCTTCAAATTCAAATTATAGATGAAGGAACCAGGGGTATGAGTTTGACCCATATTTGTTCTATTCCTCCACATCTTAAAGCGCATACATCCTTTTAAATTCACTATTCAGGATCTCAGGATCTGAAGCCATAGACATAGAGAGAGAACGGGAGCGACTCTCAGCTTTCCTTAGACTCCTCAACTTTGACTCCTCCATTCTATGTAAAACGACAAAATAACACATCGAGCCAATTGTAGTAAGCATGATTGTGCCACCAATTACAGTCGCACACACAGCAAGCCATCTAGAATGTTTTCCCACGACCACATATGTCAGCGAAATAAATGCGACTGAAATGAAAAGGCACGCCAGCCACATAAGCTTGTTAATTACAAAGACAAGTTGCTTCTTTGCTTTTTGTTCAATCACGACCACTGATGTCTGGACAACAACAACAGCCAAGGAGATGAACAAAGCAAGGCTGTCAAAGACAAAGAAGACAATAAATGTTGCCTTGTTAGCTATATAAGCTTGCCCAAGTGAAACCCCCCCTTTTTTATCCTCAACATACTGTCCAGGGACAGTAAAGATGGCAGCAAAAGCAACAGTAGCAATGAGAACAGCAACAACAGTGGCAGAGTTTATAGCATTGTTTAGGCCACTAATGTGGAGTTTCTTTAGCCTCTTTGCAATTTTTTGCACCCTGAAACCAGTCTGGCGAGTTTGTTGGAGCTGAGACTGGACATCATGTTTTATATCACTGACAGTTTGCTTCAGTTGTTTTGCTGTATTTGGGGGCTTTCCATGGTCCTTAGAATTGGTTGCTCCTGCTTCTTTTAAGATCGACACAAGTTCCAGGGTTCCCATTTTTTCTGCAATGTCAAGTGGGCTTTCTCCCGCCTTGTTTGTTGCATTGATGTTTACACCTTCAACTGATAACAAACAACGTACAATCTGCACAGCAAGTGAATCCAAACTTTATAACCAACCAGTGGAATATCATATGTTTTGGAATAGGAATACACTACTTACATATTCCAACCGGAAAAGATTCCACAATCAGTCAGAAAAGGTTTACCAAGCAGGGTATGAAAATACAAAAACCAAACAAGATATCTATCTCCATGAGCCGAAACCTGATTTACATTTTTGTGGTACAAATTCAGACAACGACCTAGACTACTTTTTATTGAAACTAGGACTGAAAAACCCAGCAGTTGCTTATGTTAAACCATCGCAGTTATAAATAGATAACTTTTGAAAATTATTTTCAATAAAAGATAATGAATGAGAAGGCACCTGAGTACGACCCTTCTTTATTGCAATATGCAACGCAGTATTTCCTTTGTTGTCTTCCACATGCAAAACTGAGGGATCAGGTTTCAACAATTCCAGCACTATCTCCTCATTTTGACCTTTCACAGCCATATGTAGTGCAGTTTGGCCCTTTTTGTCTATCCTAAAACCAGCACTTGGATCCTTGCTAAGCAAGGATTTCACTACTTCCAAGTGCCCCATTCTTGCTGCTGAATGGAGGACAGTTTTACCATTGTTCCTTGCTATCTTAGCAAGGTCTGAGTCAGTTTCTAGAAGAAGATTGACTACATCAATATGCCCTTGTGCAGCAGCTGTGTGTAGGGCGGTTGTACAAGATAAATCTGTAGTCATGGCCGAGTTGGGGAAGGTCCCCAAAAGTTCCTTTAGCACTTCTGCAAGAATGTTTTGGTCAAAACAACTTCAGAAAGAGATTAGCAAGAAATGATTGCTTGGAGAAAGTAAGGTTGAGAATTATAAGAACATAAAACAACTTTTGCAGGAGAACATGATTTTAAGATGCTGCAAGTTGGAAAGGGAATATAGAACATGTTACTTTCATCCTTCTTACCAAATAACTGAGTTAAAAGCCAAGTGATCAGCAAGATAAAGTAAGTCCCTCATCAATAGAATTGAAGGATGATAAGAAGCGGTAAAGCAATCATATTTGGAGTTAAATTGATAAGAAACAATAATTAATAGGAAAAGCAGTTTCAGAATTATAAACAAGTAAATTCTACAAGAGAGTCATAAAAGCTCACACTTAAGATGAACTAACAGAAACCCAAGACCACTCGTATCATTTGCTTGTGCTTGAATGGTTATGGAATGTAAAATGAAGTATATTTCAGGTATCCTACCATCACGAGTAATTACCAGAATTGAAAATTTTGAATGAAAAATGGACTCACAAAGAAGAACCAAGCCACTGGACGGGACTACAATCAGTGTGATTAGCAAGCTATAGCATCATAGAAATCAAGTTCATGTCACAAATAAGGTTAGTAGATTAGTATCTCAATAAACTTCACAAAGTTAAAGACATTGCAAAAAAAAAAAAAACTACAGAATTTATTTGCAATTATATGAACAATTTAGGATTTCTGTCACACTTATTGATGGTCCCATACTTAAAATACTACTTCTAAAGGAATGAGGAATATGCAATAGAAAATGTAAGATGAGTGAATTCTTACCAACATGACCCTGCTTTGCTGCAACATGGAATGGATCATAGCCATTCCGAGCAGTGATAGATGCAGTCTCAAGATCCATACGTTTCAACATCACTGCAACGATGACAGCTTGACCATTCTCTGCTGCAACATAAAGGGGAGTTTCCCCTTCTAGGTTTTGCTTGCCCAAAAATTCCTTGGCCTCAGGACCATCAGACTTCTGAAGAATCTCCCTAACTCTAGTCAAATTCCCCGTTCTAGCTGCCAAATGAAGAGGCGAATCACCCCTTTTTCCTGGAGACTCCCTATTCTTCCTGCGTTCACCTCCGCCAATAAAGCTCAGCTGCCTCTCCATTACTACACGAAAGCTCTTCTGCTTCTCCATAAAGCCCCGAAAACTCTTCTGTTTTTCTATCATTCCACGACCGCTCAGCTGTTTCTCAGTTGTAACACCACTAAAACTCTGTTGCTTTTCCAACACTCCTCCAGTGGTAGATTGTTTAAAACTTTGTTGCTTCTCCATGAGTCCTTGAATAGATGGCTGTTTTTCAGTCGTTACACCATGAAAACTCTGCTGTTTTTCCATGATCAAATGCAGAATCTCAAGCAGTTATCAACAACTCTAAACAAAAAGTGTGTTGCTTGAAAACCTGGGGAATTTCAGAACCACAAATTATGAACTTTTCTCTCCATGCTCAGAAGCGAATATGAACCTCTTCTTTTTGGTTTATTTCTCGGAACTCATATCCCACAAAAGTATCTCTGTTTCTTCGTGATTGATAACAAATTGATTGCCCAAAATTTTCCAATAGAAAATGACTTTCCTTTCCTGTAGCTAGAAGAAACCCAGTTATTAGGCTTGTGAAAGATGTAGACAACCTTAAGCAGTAATATCCAAACAAAAAAAAAAAAAAAAAGGAATCTTGTGGTAAAGAGTTGATTCTCTAAGCGAAGAGTTTATTGTAAGCCAAAATGAAAACAACCCAGAGGCAGTGCACTTTTGATGATCAACTAAAAGAGGGTTTCATAAAAAAATAAAAAATTAAAAATAAAGAAAAAAAAAGCTATGATGGAGAATGGAGCTCAATACCTTTGATTTGAAGCTCAAAACGTGAAGATTGATGCAAACAAATGAATTCCAAAAGTTGAAATCCCCTTGAAAACCGATTTCCCAGAGAAATCTGCAGATCAAATTTTGTATTTTACTGTACCAAACCAGAGGCAACAGGAAGGTAACAGTGAGAAATAGAGTAGTATATCAAAAGAGAAGAAATATCAGGCGTCAGCAGCCATTAGCTAACCACACTTTTTATATATTACCACTAGCGCTGTAACTCCACATTTTCCTGTTTTCTTAACATTTTTAACTCGTTTTTGTTTTTTATTCTTTGTGTCTTCAACTTGAAAATATTGCTACTAGAGTTGATTTTGTAGTTGTACTCGTATTTGCTTTGTTGCATCTGCTGAGCTGGCTGGCTGGCTGGCTGGCTGCTGTGCTGAACTACGAATAAATGCCAACATATGCTTTATCTCAACTTACCAAAAGTTGACAACGCTACGAGTATTGCTTTCTTTTGGTTTCATTCACCACCGAGATTTTTAGCTGCACCTTCCATTTCATTTAAATGAAAATACAAATACAACTAGTATTTCATTTTCTTTTTCTTTTACATGTACTACTTACTGAAATTGAATTACTGCTGGTCAGGTGAAAAACATGCAATGATCGATGCAGAGGAAAAAAATTTGTGGTAAGAGGGCTGGATCAACCCAATCCATTTGCCTGCAATTAGATTTAGCCGCCAATGTTGTCTGGTCTTATCGTTACAGAGAGCATTAAAAAGGAAAAATGAAAAAAAACAAAACAGATGAGGTCAGGTAATGGCACTTGGTGCCCCCACAATGTGCAAAGAAACACTAGAATATAAGCTCTTCAAAAACGTCCATGACAAAAGCATACAAAAAAACAAGCCACCAATCATGGACCCACCCCACCGACCCTTCTCTCCCCAATCCTGACTCTTAACAGATTATAATTACCCAAAGTGCTCGCCAGAATATCCATCGCACACAATGCCCATTTTTAATGGCTCTGAAATTTATCCTCCGCTGAAAATTTCGGGGCATATAAGATGATTTTTGGAGAAAAATCTTGACATTATTATATCTCAAGCATAGATAGGGGTGAAAAAAAATAATAATCAGTTTAAAATTATAATATTTAATTTGATTTAATATAAATTAATTTTTTTCTTCAATTCAAATTAAGCTTACATATTAAATATATATTAAATTTAAATTAAATTTCGAAATAAATATCAATATGTAAAGTGAAAAATAAAAGAAATTGAATCAAATTAAATTGAATCGTATTATATATTTTTATTAATTTTTATATATTTTTTAAAATTTTATAAAATAAAAATAATTATTTTATATTTAAATTTATTTAAATTTATTAAAAATCATATTAAAATAATATAAAAATAAAAAATAAATTTAAAAAACCATTAAACTTAATAGAACATGTAAAATTTGATTCGATTGGATTTGAATTACATGAAAATTTAATTTGAATTCAAATCAAATTTTAAAAATTCATAATTTTATATATTATTCAAAAAAACTGAATTAAATATGATTTGATAAGAATTGTTATCATCTCTAAATATATTAATGTACTTTCAACTAAAATTAAAATTATTATTTATTTAAATCATTTTAATTATTTTTTTCTTTTCATATTTAATTTAAAATCATTAAATTTTAATCATAAATTTAATTAAAAGGGCATTATTCACCGATAAATATAGTTGTGAAAAAATTGATATTTTATCACAAATTCACAATTATAGATATTCTTTGGGCTATGTAATGTGATGTGAGTTTTTTTTTTTTTTTTTGAAATGAAGAGATTCTGAGTTTCATTACTAATTGAAGAGATTGTCACTATTAACAATTACATAAATATCATCTAGGATATTTATTTGTCATGGGTTGATTAAAAAATTTATATTCATTGGTGGATTAAACAAATCAAAATAATTAAAGGGAGGAAGAAGCAAATAGAATGGAGGATTCCTTGGAGGGCATAACTTAAGGATCCAATATAATTAAAAAAAAAAAAAAAACCTTTTATTCATCTTAAATAAAAATAATGAAGAATCCAATAAATAAATAAATAAATAAAAGCACTACGCTACAGGAATTGGGAAAAAGCAAAATTTTTATTTAATTTATTTTAAATTAATAAAATTTTAATTATTAAATTATTTAAAATTAGCTTTAATTGGATATGTTCACCACATTTTAAGATTTGGGTTCAAATTTTCTTAATAAAAATTAAATCGGTTTACAAAATATCAATATTCTCTCAAAATTTTTTAATTATTTGAAATGTTACTATTCTTAATAAAATTTATTATTGTGTTTTGTAATTATTAAAAATATTATATTATATTATATTGTATTGTATTGTATTCCTATTATTATTTTTTTATCAATATTTTATTTATCTAACAAACTAAGAAATTTCTTAATTTGATAATAACAATGAATTATTATTATTATTATTATTTAAAATTAATTTTTTTATTAGAATAAGTTGAAAGAACTTCCTTAAACCATAGTAAAGTTGACTATGTGATTCATCAACTTAAGAAAATATTTTAAAATTTATTATTAAAAATTTCAAAATAATTTTCATCATAAGAGATTCTTTTTAAACGATCATTTTTATTATTAATTCTATCCCTTTTACTATTTAAAATACATGTAAAATAAATATATGTAATAAAAGTTAAAAGAAATATATCTGAGGAGTGAAAATATTTGTAAAAAAAATAAATAAATAAAATTAAACTACTTACATTTTGGATTAGGGTTTACTTACATAAAAAGGGTTAAAGATCTACATTTGGGCTTGTTTATTTAAAATGGACCAAGCCTTTGTCAACATATTTTTTTTAAGGATTTGTTTTCATCTAACAAATAAAATCTTAACTTATTATCTCCCTTAAAACCAAATCCAACAAACAAAATCATAATCATTTATCTTTTAAAAATCAATGAAAACATTAATCTAGCCCATTTAATAGATAGACTACAAACACACATCCCACCTCTCATGAACATATAAGACCACCTCTCATATCCCAAAACCCAACAATCTTATTAAAATAGACACTCGTCATCTTTTAATCCTTTTAAGATTCTTTTAACATAAGGTAGTATAGATATTTGGCAGTTTGATTTAATAAAGTAGAAATTATTTTTTTATTTAATTATCAATAAATAATACAATTAATGATAGTTAATACAATACTAATAAGTGTATAATATTAATTGTAAACTTTTGATAAAGTATGACATGCATGTTTTAAGTGGAATCCCAAAAAACCATTTTTTAGATCATTTGATAAAAAAAAAATCATATATTTATATATATGAATAAAGATTCATTTATATTAGTGTAATTTTTAAATCAGAATTACTAAATTTAAAAATACTATTTTGATTCAAATGAATCGTAGAATTAATTTTAATTCAAAAATCCAAAAACAAGTATAAAAATTATACTAATTTATGTAGATCCTTACTCTTTATATATATATATATATATATTCGATAAAAAAAATCATATATATGTATATATGAATAAGGATTCATTTATATTAGTGTAATTTTTAAATTTTTTTATATCATTGGATCAAAATTACTAAATTTAAAAATACTATTTTGATCTAAATGAGTCATAGAATTAATTTTAATTCAAAAATCCAAAAACAAGTATAAAAATTATACTAATTTATTATGTAGATCATTACTTTATACATGTATATGGCAAATACCCATTAGAAGAAGTAGGTTTCAACCAATGAAACATCCACCTTTTTATTAAGTATATTTTCTTCTTCTGCTTATCAAAGGAAAAAATAAATGTTTTCTTCCTTAAGTATTAGGTGTTTGATACCAACGTCTTCTATTTTCTAAAGAATTAGTACATATATTAATTATAAATCATTGTGTTATGAATTATTCACAGCTTTACTTGTTTTTTCTCTCTGTGGCAAAAATAGATGTTATTGATAGCTCAAATAAGTAGCATAAACTTTTTCTCTTGCTTAAATAATTGGAGAGAGAAATCATTGAGATTCCTATTTTTCTTTAAGAAGTATAGTTGATAAAGACATTTGCACCGGCTAATGAGAATCTAAAATGAGAAAGTTTTAAATATTAGTAGTCAATAGAAGTTTTTTTTTCTTGTATTCTATGAGAATTAAGAATAGTATTGGAATGAGAAAAAATTCTTATGTGAATGTGATGATGCTTAATTGATGACTATGTATCTCATCTAATATGTGGTATTTTACATTTGGATGATGTAATATTATACAACTTGAACTTATATAATTATTATAATGTGAAATCAAGTGAAATTAAAGATTACAAAATTTCACAATTGATATTTTATTTTTTATTTGAAATTATCAGAATTTTAATTTTAATTATTAAAATAAAAATTTAATTTTAATTATTAAAATAAAATTTAATTCTTCAACCTTTAATTAATAATATGAAATATTAATTGATAAGCAGAGTGACAATAATCATATGATAATAGAAATGTGAACTCTTAATTCTAATAACTAAATCCTTCTAATACCAAAAAATTGATAAATATAAGTATATAATATAATTATATACACCAAATTGTTTAGACAGTAAGGTCAACCTCCATATTTGTTAAGTCAGCACATTCTTAATTGATATGTCACTCGTCCAAGAAGGATCGATGCTCAGCTCCTCACCATCATACATGCAAGCTTCCTAAAGTTGTTTTCCTACCTAGACCTACTAGCCCAAAAAGACAACTCAGCTAACCACTTCCATTTACGTCTCATTAGCGAGTCACTTTCGATAATCTAACTTGTCTATAATCATTAACCCTCTCAACCCACATGATCCTTCTCTAGCTCCACAAAAACTTTCCATCAACTGTCACTTATTTATGTCATATTACATCCCTATCTCATGTATAAAGCAAAAGATGATCCATTCTCAACCCATCTTCTTTAAGTTTTCTCTGTGACTCTCTACAACTCATCTTCTACCTCATTAAGTTAAGCATTGAAACATGCCATGAAGACCAAACTCCAATGCCTCTTAATTGTGCTTTCCATGCAGCACATCCGGATCTTTTTCCACTCACTATCCAATTCAACTCTACCCAAAACACCCTCAACAATTGGCGCCATCTACGGAAAGCAATAGCCATGTCTCTCTCTCACTCCTCCGAAGCTACAACCCTTGTCATCCAAACATCTTTCTAACCCATAACTGCCTTTGAAGTCATTCCTATGTTGCGTACTCTATCATCCATTCCATCACCAAACCTAC